ACGTAATGCCAAATACCAGGAGTGACCCTTAAAAAAAATTCACATACATACATGCATTCTGACTAGGTTGTGACCACATCCAGGGATTTTTAGCTCTGTTATGTGTATTCATAATTATTTATCATTATGTTAGGGACAGGCAGTGTATAAGAAATGAGATATTATTATTTTCACCTCCTTTCGGCTACAACAGTTTTTTTCATTTCCATCACCAAGGTAAATCTCCCCAACGATACCACAAATCCCACAGATAGTTTGGTCTAAATCCCTTTCTGTCATTGCCTCAAAACAATAAAAGCCGTTGTAAAGCAAGTCTGTCACATACTCAAGAGTTGCCGAAGATGGAATATCCTGTACATACAGATACAGAAAAAAGGAAAACTGAGATCATTAGCTTAACAATGCTTAATAAAAACATTCATTATTAAAAATTAATGGTTTTGCAAACCTTGGCAGTCTTCTTAATCAGAGTGGCCAGTTTGCTTTCCACAGCAACTGTGGGGGGGACTCCACGCTTGAATTCTTCCCTCCACTCAAGCAAAATATCAAGTGACACTAATAGTTTGTCACTGATGTTAAATAACCCTATTGGGACAAAAAACAAAACAGAAATACATTTGATTTCCTTTGGTAATCACTGTTTGAAAGTAAACATGATTAGCTACACTGTATAAAACTGAAAATGAAAACATTGGAAGATCTGTACAAGAAAGAACCCAGGAGGTTAATTATGACATATATTACTTTAAAAAAAATAAATCCACAGCTACAATACTTTAAAATTTAATAAAAGCACATGTTTACAATATTTGACGATGGTATAAGAAGAGCTTTGAAAAACTAGAGTAAATTGATATCCACAGAATTCAAACCATGTCTTACCTAAATCATATGGAAACACCTGTACTAATGCTTTACACTTAGGACAGTGCTTTACCAATATTGTAATCTTTTCGAAAGCCACTGCATTGGTGATAAGATAACCACCATCCCCTGTTTTCTGGCCAGGATGAGGGCGTGCACTCGACAGTGACACTCCACACAAAGCACAAATTTCCTCCTTTGGCTCGTAAACGGATGGCCAGCCATCCTGACCAAGGCCATTTAGAACGGTCTGGCTATCCAGACGCAATATATTTTGCAAAATTCCCTTTGGAATGTCATAAGGGAATGACAGCTGCATCTTGAGTTGCAGAGTTGCCTGTCGCCCAGCCACCTCCGAATCTTGAAAAGTTGAAGTAAAAGCTGTTTCATTTGAAGAACTAGAAGCTGCAGATGGATTAGAGAAGGTGACTATTTCATTGGAAGAACCAGAAGAAGATGCAGATGGACTGGAGAAGGTGAGTGTTTCATTAGAAGAACCAGAAGAAGCCGCAGATGGAGTAGAGAAGGTGAGTGTTTCATTAGAAGAACCAGAAGAAGCCGCAGATGGAGTAGAGAAGGTGACTGTTTCATTGGAAGAACCAGAAGAAGCCGCAGATGGATTGGAGAAAGTGGTCGTTTCATTGGGTGAGCCAGAAGCAGTTACAGGTTCACCAGAGGACTGCAAAATGCACAGCAACATATGCTGATGCATGCATATTTTTTTATGCTTGACTGCTTTTGTCTTGCTTGCGAAGCGAGCACAGTCTGAAGAGGCACAGACAAACTTGGAATTCGTATTTTTTATGTGACAAAATCCAACAGAATTTGATGCTGTTGCCACACCATTCACACAAAATGACACTGAAGAAACCTGAAAAACAGCAGGGCCAGTGATTGACTGCTTCAAGTGATTAAGGGCAGCTTTGGTGGCTTGATCACAAGGGTAACTATTGATTAGTCCATCTGTTAAACTGTAGACCTTTATTGGGGGTACTGCATTGTCGCACAGAGTGGTGTGTTCACATGAAAACATTTCAGCATTGCCGCTGTTCACATATGCAGCTCTGACCTCCTTGCATTTCTGAGCCAAACACTGCTTTACGTTTCTTAATGAGTCCACAATTACAAGGCATCTAGAATCCTTGGAGTGTGTTTTTACAGAATAAAAAGAACAGTCATCTCTACTAAACAGTAACACACTCTTGGGAGCATTTAATTTTTGCTTTTTTTCACTGGGGACAAAATCTCCTCCCAGGTACCAATTGCACTGGTCACACTTCTCTGGCTTACAACGGTTGTTGTATGACTTCTTGCATCCAGGACAGCAAGTTTGCCCTCGTTTACTCTGCAATACAGATAATACAAAATAAATACAACTTCCCAAAGATATAAGAACCTGTCTAGCCTGGCAAAGAAAAATAGGTTTTAATACAAATCAATCACTCCAATTGTGATGGTCAAAGTTATCGATTTTCATTGTGTGAGACTTCTGACAAAACGTGGTTGTGTATAACGATAACTACACTCCGATCTGCCAACTTCTTTCGAGTCAAAAGCGTATCCGGTATCCGGTCATTTCGTTCCATGGTCAGATCGTTCGAGGTCAGATCCTTCCAATCAAAAGTCAGATCGTTCCACAAAATAGCCACAAAAAGCCAAGTAAATTTTCCTAAATTTGTCAAGTGAACTTTATCAAGAAGAAAAACGCTTCGTTCCGGCTACAAACGAAATGACCGTAAATCAAAAAATTCACATTTACGTGCCTCTTTGGAATATTTTCGGGAAATTGAAAGGACTTTTGGTTATTAATTATCCTTGATGTGCGAGTGTCGATCCATATACGCAGTGCAAGAATTTAAAGTTGAATTAGAGACATCTGTTACCGGTAATAATAATGCCGAGATCCATCGTAACACAGACGTCGATTAACTTAAATTTAGTTTAAACTTACCATTTAGCAGAACAATATTCCAGGGAGAAGACTCAAGGAACTATAGAATAACACAGGGTTCTCTCCACATCCAAAAAATTTACACGAAAGCAATATACGGTATTGTATAAATCCCTAAAGCGTTCTCCACACGGGCGAAAATGAAAGAACGACACGTGTGAGGTGATATGACTAAGCGACCATGTGGGACAAATGTTCCTCGTGACACCCGTGACACCATATGATTGGATTGAAACCCTCGCAACCTTTCACTCCATGTCAGCCAATCACGGTAGACCTTTGGATAGCTGCTACAGTACTGCTCAGGGGCAAAGCGAACTGTCCGTAGTAATGAGGTGTCTGTATTTAGCGGCTGTCCGTAAAGTGGAGTTTGACTGACCGTATGTCGATTGAAAAAAGACGGGTGAGAAAACAGAATGAAAACAGATGTCATAATCAAGGTAGAAAGAAGCTGGATCTATTGATTATTAAAGTAGACAAAAAATTTCCAGCAGAATAAGCTTTCAAAATTCGCCCTTAAAAGAAACGTAAACCAGTGCACCAAAAGAGAAAACGTAGCGGAATAAAACATTTAAAATTTGAATTTAACTTCAAAAAAGGAAGTCAACACAGTTGTTTGTTTACAAAAGTCGGTTGTTAATACCAGTCTTGTCAAGTTATTTAAAGCATGACTCTCTACTTGCTCAGTGAAAAACTGGGGGAGTAAACTATCTTTCAAAGCTTTTATTTTGTAGTAGCAGCGTGAAAATTTGTTAGACACACATTTAGGGCCGATTTGTTAATTAAAAATATGCAAATGAAGTCACGTGACCCATCGCAGCTTAAAAATCTGTTACTATTCGTAGTCTAGGCACACCCAATCCTTTGGTATGTAACCATTAGACCACTGACTTCGGTACAAAACCATAGCCCGCATGTAAAGAGAGATTTTTTCGTTTTTAAAGTAAGCCAGTCTCTGTGTTGCTTACGACTTTCCTAGACTGGTGCAAAACAGTCGGGTTTTTTTTCTCTCAAAGTCGGTTTTGCAAGGCGCGAATTCGAAACGCCGACGTGATATTTTCGCACGAACCGCATGAACCTCACATGCCCGTCTCACTTTCCGTTTTTACCTTCATTCTTTTTTCCTTTAACAGCTTGCGCGTGCGTTCTTAACCTAGCCAAAAATACGAGTTAATTTACACGACCTCTGGGACCGAGAACGATGTTCAAGCAGTTTACCGACCCTCCGGGTTTACCAACCTCGTCCCCAGGGCTTTTCCCTTAAAAAATGGGTGGGGCCACCCATTTTTTAAGGGAAAAGCCCTGGGGACGAGGTTGCGGGTTTACCTAACAGGACATTGATCTGTATAAAGCCGAAACCTAACGAGATAAAAGATTTTTTTCAAAAACGTAAGTGAGTAGAAAACTTGAAATCATGAAGAAATGTGAACTGTACGTTTAAGACACCATCCTGATGGAAATGCCCGAAAAAGTCTCCGTCATTGTATTTTTCTTAAACATCTGCATATAAATTGTAAATTTAACAAAAATATTAAAGTATTTATAAATAAAAATTAAATAATTACATTAGAAAATTATAGTAATATTTAGAAATTTATTTTAAAGTACATCGCCTAACCAAGTTAGTATTTTGTGTTGAAAACGGATAAGAATTAGAATTCTAAAAATACCTTAAACTATCGTTTATAAGCCCCCCGTCCCCGACCTACAAGCTTCTTCCCACCATTTATACGTCCATCTATTTGTAAACAAAAAATACATCGGCATTAAAGCTCCCTCCGGTGATTTATTACCAGTGAATTCAAAACGTGTTTCGATCAGCACTGTTACAGCTTGTTTTGAAGAGTTGTTTCCATTCCGGTAATAAGCTAGCCCCCTCGGGTAAAAACCCCTCCTTTTATAAGCTCTCCTGGAACATCCTTAATTACGAAGATGTATGGGTCCAGGGCTTATATGCAGCAGTTTTCAGTGGCAATTATGTCAAGTTCCTAACTAGCCTTGCCGCCCTAGCTTGCAACAGGCGTCCAAATGGGTCACATTAATAACCACCTCACTTTTGGAGGCAAAAATTAAAGGAAAAGTTGCACCACTTCATTCTTTCCCATTTCATTCTCTCATTTCACATTTCTCTACATCCGGGATCTTCAAAACTACGAAATTTTCGCGCCAAATTCTTCACGTGAGACAACTGATCGCTGCGAAGCTCGAACAAGATGGACGTTGCTGATCGTACAACCGGCACTTCTCATGTACGCGACGACCTCGCAGAGAGATGCCAAAAGCTATTTCAAGACTTTCTGGAAGAGTAAGTACATTTTCGATCGATGAGATCGATAAATGCTTGTATTTGTGAGTAAAGGTGCCGATTTTTGTTCATTTCATTAACCCAGAATAACTTCGAGCTGCCTGCACATGGTTGGAAATCAATCCACGGTTCTCGGATATTTTATAGCTTCTGATAGTTTTTATTTGCAAATCAGGCGTTCTAAGCCTGATCACTCTTCGACACTTTTTAGTGGCTGGTCCATTGGCAGTTATCGTAGCTCATAAATTCGATTTTTTAGAAGAGCAAAACAAAACAACAGAACACGAGTGTACAGTCTTCCCAGGTTTTGTTAAGACTAGTTTGCGATGAAAAGTAGGTTACAGAGTGCTCGATTCAGAGATAATTCCTATTATAGTAAATTGTTTTACCAAAATTCCGGCAGGCACCAAGTTACTGTATCTTGAAAACTGGTTGATTACAGTAAGTAATTTTTGAACTTGTGAAGCCCTAACCTGTTAAAGATTTTAAAGTCTTAAGATTATTGTCAACGGCTGGACACGAACTTGGACTAAATTGATAGATATTAGCCCCTAGGTTACAGACTGTTGATCATTTGATACGACGAAATTGTTAGCTCATTCAATCTATGAAACACAACTTGCTTGCTAGTTTAATAGGCAGAGTTACTACTTTATGTAAAAACCTCTCAGATATCATAACTAAGTGCACATGTGCATAGGGTTGCACCTGGAAATTAGATTAAAAGGTGTCAATCTAGGCTTTCCTATGGCTCTCAGCGAAGAATAAATAAACACTTCTTGAATACAACAAAAATTAAATGGCTTCTTCCCGAGATCAGCAAGAATTAAACAAGTGGAGACAAAGACAGATTTTAAGCAAGCTCTTACAGTATATTTAAGGCTTTCAATTAGCACTATTTCTGTTGTTTTTTTAAGCTCTAGTACTCCAGACTTGCTGGGAAACCTTTGCTGAGTAAATTCTGTAAATGTTAATTAAGAATGCTACATGTAATATGGAATGACATGTCCTTGTGCATATAGTGATGACAGGGGTGTAGTCATCTTTTGACTTTTTGTAGGCCTGGCTGACTTTCATATCCACATATCTTGAAAAATGTGTAATTCTGTTGATTGCACTCATGACTAGCACACACTGACCTGACCAACACTTTGAGCTCTTGAGCTTTTTAGTTCACCCGAACGCATAATTTGTGACAAGTGGTAGGTTGATTAAACCAAAAATTTGTAGGCCTGGGCCTACATGTCTATGGGCAGGCTACGCCCCTTATTGACTTGTTTATTTAATCACTTAAAGGTTTCAAGTTGATGGAGAAGAAAAGTATCTCCCTGAAGTTCAGGAGCTTATCAGGCCTGAACGCAACACATTGAGTGTTAGCTATCAAGATGTGGAGTCTTACAATTCTCAGTTATCTACACTAATTCAAGAGGAATACTATAGGTAAGATCAGAAAAGGATAACCAAATATAATCTGTTATGCAGGTGTAGGAATTGCGTGTAACATAAGATTGACTACTTTTTGGTAATAATCCAGTTTATAGCCAGCTAAAAATCCATTTTCTGTAGTTCAGGTGTTTTTTTTTTTGAAGCTGCAAAATAGAAATAATTTGCAAAATTTTACTACCTCTCCAAGGCCCACTTTTATGAAGCCATTTTAGCTAGGTTCTCATTGTTTAAGTGAACATTTGAGTGGATACAGCTAACAATCTTTCACTTTGCCTTCAGAGTATTTCCTTATCTCTGCCGAGCTGTCAGAAACTTTGCAAGAGATAGAGGACAGGTCCCTCCTACAAAAGAATTTTATGTCAGCTTCACAGATCTTCCTACAAGACACAAGTAAGATGTGTTCATACAATTGCTGCTAAAAAAAACCCACTCCATACAAGAATTATTAATTTTATTTTTTTGTGTGTGTGTGATCCTTTAGGATTCGAGAACTCACCAGCCAAAAGATTGGCACCCTATTGAGAATAAGTGGACAAGTTGTTCGAACACACCCAGTGCACCCTGAATTAGTGACTGGCACGTTTATCTGCCTTGACTGTCAGACGGTCATTAAAGATGTTGAGCAGCAGTTTAAATACACTCAGGTTTGTGGTTTTCATTGCTTCATCCTCTCAATTGTATCTTCCATGAAACTGTGTTAAAATGACTGTATCTCTCTATCTAGAAAGGTTAGATAAAAACCTTTTTTCAGGCTTTCTTTTCGCAACTTCAAAAGTTGCGTATATAACTGTGATGATCATCCTTCATTTAATTCTTCACCCCGCAGTTCACATATAGGACGTTCATATATTCAAAAACTTCACAAAAAATTCTCTTGGTCCTTTGCACTTTCTTTATGCTTTCTTTAAATAATTTTTTGCTTTGACGAGCAGGCGAGATGAAGTGAATCCTGTGTTTTGATTTGCTACCTGGCTGGGCAAGATGGGACTTTCTTACCCGCTCGGAATTCCTTGTACTGATCCAGTAAAAGAATAAGTTCTTGTGACGTTTTAAAAGGATTTCAAAACAGGATGTCTAAGATTAACAATGATTTTTGACTGTAATTACACATATAGGAGGGTCAAATGTGGTGAATACAGGACAGGACCTATGCAACATTGGCTACCCTTCCTTAACAACACCAATCCCATGTAAATCCCAGAAAATCCTTTTGAATGCCAGTCAGCACTGGGTTCAAAGTTACTCCAACCAAAATGAGATTAACTAATAACATCTCATCTTCCAATGTTAGAGCCACTGTTGAAACCTGCCTCCCCAGCTACACGATGTACTCGAATTCTCTCCCGGCTTCCATCCCTAACACTTTATGCCCCACCCGAGCTTCGTGAGGTTCTGCGATGCTTGTATTTCTAGTACACAGTTGAAAGCAGACCTGTTAACCTGTGATCATAGATAGATACCATGATGGTTCAATAGGGAAAACATAACTTCCAGTTTATAAAAATATTACAGTTCTCTTAGCCATATAATAAATCCTTTATTGACCAAGGTTGTTTGGGCAAAGTGGCTGGATATTGGCCTCATCCTTTTTCTGCATTTTTTTTGACCTGCACTTCAACTTGGTCCTTAAAACCAAAAAAGAACTTGTCCTATATTCAGCCATCCTGACCTCATACTTTGTCAATGATGCATTTGTAACAAAGGTGAATACATGTACATGTTTCATTGTAATGTTTTTGGTGTTATAATTATCACAGCCCACAGTGTGTCGCAACCCAGTCTGTCAGAACAGGACGAGATTTATGCTAGACATCAACAAGTCACGCTATGTGGATTTCCAGAAAGTTCGTATTCAGGAAACTCAAGCAGAGTTGCCACGGGGCAGTATTCCAAGAAGGTTTGTCAATTTCAGTAAAGTATTTTTAATATTATTTTATGGACAGTAAAGGACACAATCATTAGACAATAACGGAAATGAGGTAAACCTGCTGTTTAGCTACTAAAAGTAATGGAACAATAATTTGATGTGGGACTTTGCAAGCCTATTCTTACATGTTGTTTCACCCATCTTGTACACTGATTGGTGGCTTTTCTTCTTGGTTTATGGGAAAAGAGAGGCATCACTGCAAAAGAAACTTGTCAGACAGTGCAAAACTGTGTTGGAAAACTCTCCAAATTCTTTCTCATACTGGCTTAGACCTGTATGAATAATTGGCAAAGCTGTAACAGGACTAGAAAAGTCTCATCCGGTCATGCACTCAGGACAAGCAGATTTTCCTGCTAGGCAAGTAAGGCCCAGTTCAGACGCGGATCTTTTCATGAGCTAAACTTAGTACATTGAATTAAGTACAGGAAAACTTTGGTATCTGAGTCAATTTGGAACGGCTCAGCCATTCTTCACGCCTAGCCCGGCCGGGAATTTCGACTGTGGAACGGCTTTGATTCAGACACCGAACTTTTCATGGAACAAACATAATGCTTAAATTATGATAATGTATTTTGCAAGCAGTTTGACCAAAGTGAGTATTTTTCTGCTTTTGAATTTAGTTCAGGTGGAATTAAGATCAGTGCCTCAATCAATTCAGGCAGTCTAAATAGTTTGGGTCAGCCTTAATTTAATTAGGTTCAGCTCATGAAAAGTTCAGTGTTCCTTGTTTAATCCCAATTTCCCATCCTCCAATAGCAGTCGCAGTTTAAAGAATTTGGTTCCTCTTACTTCAAGATTATTACCTGTCAACTCCTTAAACTCAAACGTAGCCATTACATTACATTAATTATCTTTTTTCTTTTAGTGTGGAAATAATTCTTAGAGCTGAAGCAGTAGAGCAGGCCCAGGCGGGAGACAAATGCGACTTCACGGGAACACTGATTGTTGTTCCCGATGTAGCTCAACTGTCAACACCAGGTAAAAACAACTTAAAAGGCATCTTCAAGTAAAGTAAAAGTTGTAACACAGAAATCTGGAAATAAGGTGAAGATGAGTCAAAACTTGCACCTTTCCACGTGAAAACAATTCCTTATGTGTGTGTGTGTGAAAATCTTATAATGCATTTATTAAGTGGGACATAGGTGACGCTACCCGTACGAAACGCGCAGCGCTGTTGCAGCGCTGCAGAATAGCTGCAAAGAGGCTGGCTGCAGCAGTCGCAAATTTTGGCTGTTCGGGTCAGCGCTATGAAGCCGTTTGAAAGCGATAAGCAGCGGTTTAGCAGCGGTGGAAAGGACACACAAAAACGCTGTCAGCGCTGCCAAATAGCTGCAAACGTGTACAAAAATTCAAAGAATTATGGCATTTGCCTAAACCGGCTTAGTAGCAGAGTAAAAACCACTAGAAAGTCAAAATGCAACTTATACTTTATTAGTATCCACGCTGCATATCGTTACAAAAAGCACGTGACATAGAACAAGTCTGCAACAGTCTCGCTTTGTAAATATTTAGCAATCACGGTCACTCATCTGAATGTAAGAACATCCATTAACATGCAGACATTGAAAATTATCTTTTTTTTTTTATAAAGAGAATAACATCGATTGTTCTACATAAAGTTTACATGCACGCCATTAGGCAAATGATATTTTGATTCGTTGCAACGGGCTAAGCTGGACATTGCTCACCTTGACGTTTAAGTCCATGATCCACGATCTTCTACACTTTTTTCATGAAAGAAATCAACCCAATTTTACTTTGGTCGTCGTTAAATTTTACAATGGACTAAGGAACCAACATAACCACGAGCGTATAAGAATCTTGTAAGTGCGAACCCCATCTGAGATTCTTGTATCTGTGTTCCTTGCTCTGGTTCGATTCGTCGATACTTAGCGTAGAAGTCACTGTTCAGTGCGTTGTTTGCAAATACGTTTGAGCTGTTCCATCCAAAAACTTCAACAGAACTTCCATCTCGAAACAGAACTAGATACAAACAAACTTAGAATGTTTGCGCCTTTCATTCAACGGTCGCAAATGTTCTGTGTTTGTCTAGAGATGTAATGGGATCTCATGCAAAAGGACCGACCAATTAGATTACGGCCTAGAATATTAATGTCTCCAGGGAATTAGCGATAACATTCCCACACTCGCCGGTCACACGAATGAAATTTATTGAAATCTTTCTTCCGGAAGCATAGGATTTGGAGGTTTATTCAATAAGTGATCTTCTTTGCGCACAAGCTTACTCACATTTCTTAGAGGTACAGTCAAAGTTTTCGCGTTATAAAAGCCGTAATCTGTGAAAAGGCTTTATCTGGCGATTCATGTTATTGGCGCTCAAGAAAGTCAGATCGACCGCAGCTGAATTGTAGCGTTACTGCAGCTACTTCGCAGCGTTTGAAAGTCGGCAACTGCGCTGCAAAACCGCTGCCGAGAGCTTCAAAGAGCCTTCAAAAGATGCACAGCGCTTTTGCATCCCGCTGCAACTTGAATGAAGCTGCTGTTTGGCTTCTAAACGGCTGCTGAACAGCTGTAATTTAGCTGTACAGCTATTTTGCAGCGATTTTGTGGCGCTGTACAGCGCTGCAAGTTTCGTACGGGTACAGATGATATTGTTATTTGCAATAATGATTGTGAAATCAATCTTGGTTTTCAGGTCAGAGGGCAGAGTCTTCTGGGAGACAGACAGCTGGTGATGGCTATGAATCAGAAGGTGTCAGGTACGTAATGTTCACTGCCGTGATGTTTCAACCTCTTGTACTCATTTCGAAAGAGTCAAAGAAACCTGCAAAAGTGGACTTATAAACAGTTTTCCCCTTCCCTATGTCAGTCTGAAGGAGTTTTAAGTGTCATGTGATATCCCTCACTCCCAGCTAGTTGCTGGATCATTTTAAGCCGTAGCATTTCCAAGTATCAACTACTCACAAAGGAGTGTATATGAGCAAAGCCAAGGGGATTGAAGTTGTACTAGATAACACCTGTATTTCTTTCTTGTCTCAAACATAAGTACCAATAAGAGGATTGCACATACAATGTACATTTTCAAAAGAACCAATTTAATGACTTGTTTAATGACCTGCTATCAGTTGGCTCGCTAGCTTACAGTAATTGCAGGGTTAGAACACTTCACTGGTATTGCAGAGGTCAGGGTTTGAATCCCAACAAGGCTGAACTTTCTCAGGCTTTCTTTTTGCAACTGCATAAGTTCATCTTTAACTGCGATGATCATTTTCACATTTATTTAGAACCATTACTATTACCCAACTATTGCCGATATAAAATTCACTTACCAGTAATATTCCCCTTGCTCAGTATTTTAGTAGTTATTAAATTTTTCTTTTTTAGGGGTCTTAAGGCCCTTGGAGTACGCGACTTAACCTATCGACTGGCTTTCCTGGCATGCAGCGTCCAAGCAACAAACCCAAGGGTAAAATAAAAACTTAATGTTTTTATTATAACCATCAGTTTATAATATTATTTAAGAACAGTCAACTGCCTTTATAGCAGACGCTGTAGGGACCTCGAGTTAGTGTCGTCATTTGCGAGAGTCTGTAATAGCGAGGCTAATGTTTGCCATGGCATATTCACTTCACAATAATGTTCTTCTTCTGTTCAGTTTGGAGGTAAAGACCTTGATGGTGATGATGTCACAGCAGAAACTATTAAAAAGCAAATGACAGACCAAGAGTGGCAAAAAATCTACCAGATGAGCAAAGACAAGAACCTTTATCAAAATATGATCAACAGTATATTTCCTACAATTCATGGTGAGTAATAATTGTTCACAGAAGATGCTATTTCATGCAATGTGAAATCACTATTAATACTATTCATTGGAAAGTGAGAAAAATAGCCTGACTGAAAGCAAGTTGTTTCTTTAACTTACAAGTAGGAGTTCTAAGTAGTAGTAGGAGAAAATTGAAGGTCAAAAGTGTTAGTTTTTGTATTGTGTTTTAATTTGGTTTAACCCACTGAGCTTTTAGGTGTTCCTAAGAACTCACTGAAACCTGTCCGTACATTCCATATCAAATTGGAATTTGGAAGTGCTGGTTTTTAAGGAGAAATGGAAAACTGGAGACAACAAACTCAACCAGCATATGGTGTCAAGTATTAGTAAATTAGCATTACATACTGGGTCAGGGTTGTCATTAAGAGGTGGGGGCCAGGGATATCCCCCGGCTACTAAGAACGTGGTCCCCGGCTACTTTCATAGGAAAATAGAAGAAAAATAGAACCAAAAGAAACCCTAGCTGTTTGATTCCTGGCCTGCTTGTTGTATTTACCCGGCAACTTGAAATCTTAGTGACAGCCCTGCTAGGTAATGATAATTATTAGTATTGTCTTTTTTTAGCTCAGCAGTAAATTTGCCTGGTGCATAAAGTCCATTTCTTTCAATCCTCTGCCTGAAGATCATAGCTCTTAAACAACTTTTTCTCTTGGCAGGAAATGATGAGGTTAAACGTGGTGTTCTTCTCATGTTGTTTGGTGGAGTGCCTAAGGTGACAACAGAGAAAACAAACCTTAGAGGTGATATCAACATTTGTATTGTGGGAGACCCCAGCACGGCCAAGAGTCAAATACTCAAGTAAGATGTACTTTATTCTTTCAGGAATGTCTTCAGTCACTGAGTGGTTAGCCTGTGAGCAAGCTTACTCAGAGGCTCTGGGGGCTGGGAGCCGGGAGGAAAAAGGGGCATGCCCCATTCAAGAGCCCCACAGAGAGCTTGCTCACACAGCTACAGAATACTGCGTTGTTTTTTGACTCCCATTATCAGTTATGATGACATCTAGCACAGTTCTAACTTTTTTCAGTATTACACCAGCAGCCGTTGTTAGGTGAGAATGGCCCTTATGCTTTGTTGTTGTTCTCTTGTGCTCTCGGCAGCCGAGGAACCGAGTTGTTATTGCCATTAAACCACAACTGTTCACTATTTGCAGGTCATCTTTTCCTCAATAGGGAGCTTAGATTAGCAAACAACAACTTAGCACATGCATCACACTTTTTTGTATATTTCTGTGCCATCACTGCAGGAAAAGACAACCCATAAACAGTTATGGTTTAATGGCAAGTACCCCTTGTAGAAATTCAGTACATTTAAAGTATACTTTATATAGGTGATAAACACTTTAAAAAGTATACTTCATTTGTACTTAAAGTATACTTTAAGTATACTTACCAGAAGTATACTTTAAGTACACAACTTTTCGACACCTAAAAAGTATACTTAAAGTATACTTAATGAAAGTATACTTGAAGTATACTTAATGGGAAGTATACTTCAAGTATACTTAAAATGTACTTAAAGTATACTCAATGCAGTATGTTAATCAATCACTGAGACACATCAGACTTGGATCAATTATTTTGTAAAATCATTTATTGATATAACAAAAAAAACTACCCCTAACTTAAAGGGGCTGTGTCACGGCAGTCCACTTCATTTTGTTTAATTTTGCCAATTACTCGCCCTCAATCGCTATGGAACTTAAAGTAAGCAAAAAATTACTTGTAAATGACAAAATCAGAGATCCGAGACAAACAAATATGTCTCCTGAGCATTGTTTTTGAAGTTGCAAGCAGCAGGGATCAACTTTGAAAAACTGTTAGGCTGAACAGTTTTCAAAAACGCTAGTTTCAATCCGTTTCAATCTTCTTCAGTTTTGCCCATCCGTGGTATCTGTCGTTTCTGTTATGTTATTTTAACCTTCCTTTAAAGTTTTAAGCGTTTTTTTTTATTTTTCTCTTAATTTAACGGGCATTTTGTTATTTCCTAATTTGACTGAATTTCGTGACACAGCTCCTTTAAAGCAATACAAATGTACTAAGAAATTATAAAAAAATATATAGCAAATCTTGTTGAAATAGGTTTCCACAACATAAAAATATACATTTTCTATTCCTATCAAAGGAAATCACTGCATTTGATTACCATAATATATTATTCTTCTTGATTTTAGTAAAAGTTTCATTGACAATGAGATCATTTCAAGGAAGGTGCTTGTATATTAACAGGTTTCTTTCTGAACTTTCTTTAACTCACTTGTACTTAATAATTATTGCTTAGAACCATCACACAATATTCTTCTTAATTTTAGTAAATGTTTAATAGACAAGAATGATTAGATCTGTACTCTTTGGCTACAAAGTAAATTGTGCCATTACCTTATTAAAGAAATATGTCTACCTATTACGTACAAAAACTGGAACGAAATGCGATCTAAGGAAAACAAGACTTGGGTTTTATATTTTGAATTTACACTGCACTTTAGGCGAAGTAAACAAGCTTTCACTTTGTAAACCTTAAGGCTTAACTCGTGTGTCATTTGCAAATGGCTCGCAAAGAAGAATCGATATATATTGAAACGACTGGAACCGATACATTTTCTACCCCAAAACTTACTTGTATCGTCAAAATTCAGTCATGGTGTACTTCTTTTGTTTTCTTTTCAAGTTCCACTCATATTGTACTCGAATTGTGAAGAGAAATTAAAGGCAATATTCCAAGCGTATAAATATCTTGAAGACATTCTCGGCAAAGCTCAACGAACGTTCCTTCGAATCTGTATCGCCCGCCAAAACCATATATGGAAGTTAGGTATGCTGTAAATGATTCATACATGACCGTATTAGGAAATCCACAAGATCCCGTATATGTTCCGACGGTACTGGAAGTCAGCGGTAATTCAACACCTTCATATATGCATTTCTTTCCTCGAACGTAAAGATGTCCGACGATGAGCGATGGTTTTGCTTCGAGTTCTCGTTCTATTTCTTAAGGTCCTCGTAAAAAAAGGAGGTTAAACGACCCCGGCCTTAATTACATCCGATATCTTTTACTGTCAAGTGCAAAATTCTACGAAAGACGTTAAAGAAATGCCCGAAACTGTGCGACTTTGCCATTTCGCCCAGGGATTCGATCGGCGGATGATCTTCTTGCGAAGGAAGTCGACTGAACAGCTAATGTGTGCCCTGTGTATCTAGAAACCTGTTATATACTTCACCACTCTGAAGAAATCTTTACATGATCTCAACTGTGTCCTTAATAGAAGAAAACTGATTTGATCTGAACATTATTTTGAAGTTGAATTATATATACTTAAAGCATACTTTTAGTATACTTTTGTCTTGTAGTGATTTCAAGATCCGGACAAACCTTCTTAGATCCTCAGATCAGAATGTGTCTTTCAGTTTCAAAGTATACTTAAAGTACACTTTTCTTTGCGAAACTATTTTTCACAAGCACTGAAGTTTGAAAAAGTATACTTAAAGTATACTTAAGTATTTGAAGTATAAATGAAGTACCTTTGCCAAATATACTTCATTTATACTTTTTTTCTGGAAGTACAAACGAGGTATACTTCAAATGTACTTTTTTTCTGAGAAGTACATATAAAGTATACTTAAAGTATACTTAATTTCTACAAGGGTACGACTCAGTTACAATAATATGGCTGCCGAGAGCACAAGAGCGCAACAACAAAGCATAAGGTGCATGCTCACCCGATAATGCCTGCTGGCAGTAGAAAAAAATCTTATGTTTTGTCCAATGTTTGTATGTTACTGCCTGGGCTCAGTCATTAAGAGCTGGGGGCCGGGGATTTCCCCCGGCTAATATGAATGTGGCCCCCAGCTACTTTCATAGGAAAATAGAAGGAAAATAGAACCAAAAGAAATCCCTAGCTGTTTGATTCCCCACCTACTTGTTGTATTTACCTGGCAACTTGAAATTCTTGATGACAACCCTGTACTGGAAGAGTAAAGAGTAAATCAAATGCTGAGAGTATTAAATAATCCTTTGTAGGCATATAGAAGAATTTAGCATCAGAGCAGTATATACCTCTGGTAAAGCCTCCAGTGCAGCTGGTCTGACAGCTGCTGTTGTCAAAGATGAAGAATCTTCAGAGTTTGTCATCGAAGCTGGAGCTCTAATGTTGGCTGATAATGTGAGTTTTTCTCATGTTTGGGAGTGAGACTGTTTAAAATTGCAGTTTCTCTAGTAAGAGAAACTGTCAAGTGAACAATAGCCTGCTTTGTACTGACCTTCTAAATCCCTGCCTATACGAGTTCTTTGCCTTAGGCCTTGAGAGACAAGTCAGGCTGTAATGCAAGCTAATGAACAAATGCCTGGTTACAAATATGAATCTTTTGTCTCTGCCAGAGGCTGTGTGAAAAAAGAAGCAGTTCACACATGTATTATATGAGCTCCTGCAAGAGAAATTTCTGGTTGAGTTGATGCCATCCTCTTTAACTGTAGTTTGAATCAGTAGCTAAGAAACACAGAATCTGCAGAATTTTATTGGTGATATGAATTCCTGCTAAGTGAGACAGCGAAGAAGGTGTCTTCATTTTTTTTATTGGTTTGTAGGGTGTTTGCTGCATTGATGAATTTGACAAAATGGATCCTAAAGATCAAGTGGCTATCCATGAAGCCATGGAACAACAAACTATTTCAATAACTAAAGCTGGTGTCAAGGTAAGAAGTAATCTCTAGTTGTGCATCATTCTTTTGGGGGGGGGAGGGGTGTGTAGGAAGAAGGAGTATTTAGATATTTCTGGTCTCATTTACTTTGAAAAGTCACATTTGAGCCCATATTATTTTTAGCGATACAGCCAGTAAATGTTTTAAAACCAAACATTCTTTCCAGTGTTTGGGATTTCTCTGCATTCTCATCTGACGATTATATGATTATGCTTTCAACTATACTTAATCATAATTTTGTGTCACTTTGTTTTTAGGCATCACTGAATGCAAGAACCTCTATTCTGGCTGCAGCGAACCCAATTGGTGGCCGATATGACAGAACAAAATCACTTAAAGTAAGTTCAGGATAAAACCTGCTGTGATACATGCAAACTCCGAGCTGGAATTAGCATACTAAAAACTCTTTCTTATTCCTTTATCCTATGCATTCAAGTCATTTACAATACCTGTAAAATGCTTACCCTCCCTGTGGCACACTGGGTGGGTGTGGTGGCCATGTTCAGTTGTGGGGGGGGAGTGGGTAAGGTGCTCCAGAATCCCTCATTTTGTGGTAGTTTATCTCAACCTCATCAGAGATATGAGTACTTGTCTCCTTTGAAAAAATGGCCACGTGTGTATAGGTTCTTATGTTAGAACCAGAGGAGGATCGAATAGTATCCCATGATGCATTTTTCCAGAAGCATCAGGCAATATCGCAGTCATAGCAGATTCCATCTTGAAATAAGGTCGTTTTCTCGTCGGCTTTTTTCTCACTCGATTTCCAGTAAAAGTAAAAAAATTACATTATTTCGTTATTTGACATGATTTCTCCGATTTGCAATGCCTTAAGAGCGAAGTTTCCACTTAGAAACATTTATTTTCACGGTTTCAATTAGTCTTCCCATCACAAAGTGTTCAGTGACCCACAACCAGGTCATGAATATTCGAGATTTTTTGGAATATATGTTGAAATCTTACAAATGTGGACCTCATGCCAGCAAAATAAAGTCCTGAATATTGTACAGGCCAAGAAGTACCCAGAAGTACCCACATTTTGAAGACTTTTTTGTCGACCAAAGATGGCTGAAATTTCGAATCTTTTATCACATTTCAACGCCATGTGTCATAATATATGTGTAAAGCCTGATGAAGGCCACAATCTGTTGGGCGCTTTTGAGAGCGCTTTATGCCGAAGCTATCACTTTGTATTTTCAAAGAGGTTATTTTTAAAAGGAATTTGACTATAATTATTTTAATTCGAAGAAGGAGCAGTGTGTAACGGTGTGTTTCAGTGTGAAAAGAAACCAAAGAAAGGAACCACGCAGCATGCAAGCCGGCACAACGTAAACTGAAGCCTGCTCAGAATTTGAAAAAGAAACATCATGCAGAAACTTAATTTATTCAAAAGAACAGATCAGTATTCTGGCCAGGAAATTTCCTTGAAGATTGCTTGAGTCAGTACCGGGTAGACTGGGCTTCAGAGAATTGTTAGTCGCATCGATAGGTTAAATTTTATTTGTAACTGCCATTGTAAACTTCAGCTCTTTTGAGCGCGATGCTGTAATAAATTCTCCTTTGGTAATTAGCTTCACAGCGTAGCAGATGTTTTGTTGGAACCACTTTATAGATCAGTCATAGTTTTGGTTCTCCTCTGGCCTGGGTTCTTCTAGTGAACCTAGCGAAGCTTATCAATTGCGAGTCTTATAATATTGTGTTTACAGTACGTGCGACCGAGCGCGGCACAAGTAGTTCTCGACAGATCAGTGAAATACATGTAAAACCCTTCTCAGTCAAAGCAACGCTGAAGTTCTCCTTTAAAGCACAGTGAATATAAGGCACTCGATATTCTCAAAAGCAGAAGCTGCTGAACCGAAACATGTTTGGAAACCATCCACATCGAGCACTGCGATCGATGTTCACCTCCCGCGTGCTGAAGATTACTGATCATGATGTGTCACGTACGCAGTGATAATATAACATGAATCGAGGTGCATCATGGGATACTATTCGATTGTCGTCTGTGTTAGAACTGTACTCATTTGTTTTTCTTTTGAGCCCTAATCTTGGGTCTGCCTTTTATTTTTTTGCTTTCATAAAATCAGTTCTTTTGCGAAATTATGCAAAAAGTAAACATAAACATTATTCTTGTTGTTGCAGCATAACTTGAACATGTCAGCTCCTATCATGTCCAGATTTGATCTTTTCTTCATTCTTGTAGATGACTGCAATGAGGTACAAACAATTATGAAAATAGCTTAGCTTTTGATCACACTTGAATGTTAGGCATGTTATAAATTTTTAATTCATATGTAGATTTACCCAAGGCTTAAATTGAAGCTCCTTTTGATGACTCCAACAATCATGTGACCATTGCAAAGAAATCCACTTGGAGTTGAAGCTGCAATCAGTTGAAAACTATTAACTTGTCAGCGGTTAACTTTGAAAAAATGTAACCTTGATGGGTTGACACCTGAGGCTATGATATGGTCATGTGATACTGGTCAGCATATTCCCTGTCAGCTGTCAATTATTGACCATAACATGGATGTGCAATACTAGGATGCAGGCTCCCACACTAGCTAGAAAGTGTTAGGTTTCACATTGATTGCCCTCTAGTGCAGACAGACGGGTGGACAGACAGATGCACAGTCACATGACTACTAAAATTTCTCAGAGGGATAGATCACCAAATTTTCTTAGCTATGGGGCTCTGCTTGTGCATGCTTTGTGTGCATGGAGCTCTGCTACTAAAATTAGTATTTATTTATGATCATTCCGAATTCAATATTATGTGCATGTTGCTGCAAACATTTCCATATCAGTGCTTCATCAGACAGACTGGTCAATATAGCTGGAACTAATCCTAACAGTGTTGAAAGTTCTATCTGAGGAAAGACAAACAAGAACTGTATGACATGTGGCAAGGGGAATCACTGTTATGATGTAATGTATCGGTCAAATTGAAGCTTCAACATGCCCCCCCCCCCCCCCACCGGGCATACCCCGGGCATTTGACAACTTTGCCGTCCCGGGAGCAGGGAATTTGATTATGAGAGTCTTCCAGGGGGTGGGGAATTTGATCCCCATGCTTTAGGGGTGGGGAATTTGAACTGCACCCTCGATTTCATGTAAAATCTTTGGCGTGGCAAGCTATCATGGGGAACGGGGTGTTAGAGTATTTTTGTGGAAAAGATTGTGCCTTTTTTGGCCAATTGGTTACGAGGAGAGGGCTTAAACAAGCTTTGTGCCGTATTTGAAGTATTTAAATTTTAAAATTTTTAATTGGCCAGGGGGGGGCATGTTGAAGCTTCGATTTGACCGATACATAAGTGCTGGGTTTATGTATTAATAAGGCTGATGGTTGCTCCTCCAACAACCTGAAGAACTTAACTCCTTTTATCATTGGTGGTAGGTTACAGATTACGCCATTGCTCGCAGGATCGTTGACTTACACAGCAGGCTTGGGGAAGCAGTTGAGAGAATTTACAGTGTGGTGAGTATAAGTTCACATTAAATAAATTTTGGGGCAGTTTCTTGTTGAGTGAGTACTGTGTTTTGCAAGAACACTTTCGTCAGTAAAATGCAAAACACTCAACAGGATGGAGCAGCAAGGGCTCTAGGGGATAATATGAGTGAGATTTTTAAGTCATTATTGTAACTGAAAAAAATAATTAATCTATTTTTTGTAGGATGAAGTGCAAAGGTACATCACATTTGCCAGGCAGTTCAAGCCAACGGTAAGGTCTCCTACCAAAATTATGAAATCATACACACCCAATATTACACATAACTGCAGGCGATATGTGTAGCATACACACCTAGTTTCCTGTTCTTACCAAAGCAAGACAGAAAAAGATGCAAATTAATAGAAGCTTAGAAGTTCAGACTTTCACTTTCAGCCAGCTTTCTCTCATTTCAAGGAGACAGGCATTTCATTTTATAATAGCATGAATTTCTCTACGTCTGCACTTTTTTTGACAGGGTTCAAAAAAATAATGTTGAATTCCATCTTGTCTTTAAGCAAGCAGTTCTCACATCTTACTTGCCTGGGGCCACTTCTTCTTTGTCTTACTTAACAATTTGGTTGAGGATGATTTGCGTGCCCCTTGGGCTTTAAAAGTTACTTGCCCACCAAGAAAATCTACTTGTCCCAGACGACTGGAGGGAACTTTTTTTGACAGTAGTGTAGGAGCTGCCTGGAAGGTTTCTCCTAATTGGTCGCAGGAAACAATGACATGTCATTCTTCCAATTGTTTTAGTATTGTTTGGGGTCAGGGAAACACACCATTGGTGACTTCTCTTCCAAGTAGCTGCTACATGACCCTTTTTTGAGCCCTGTAGTAATGTAAGCAGTATTCACATTAATGTGATAAAAGGCAAAGAAACTGATACTTTCAATGTTCTTTGTTGATGTGAATTTATCATGAACAACAAATCAGTCATATCCCCACAATGGGCTTTTTTTTTTTAGTTTGTTTTGTTTTTTGGAGTCAGCAGGACTGAAACACTGACCCCAGGTTAACAGCATTTTGTGTGCTCCACCAGACGATTTTTTTCTTACAGTTTTCTACCACTGAGATTATTTGTTAATTTTGTGTTTCAGATTAGTAAAGAAGCACAAGATTTCATAGTTGAACAGTACAAACATCTAAGAGAAAGAGACGCAACAAGTAAGCCTCATTAGTTTCTTCTCAAATATTTAAAAAAAACTCATGCTTATTAAAAGTAAAAATGAAATCTACATGTAATTTAAGGTGGCTCCATTGGATTTTTCAGGGCCGATACCAGCCAAGTTCGAGCGTTGACTATGTCGTCATTAACAAAGATAATATACAGCTCCAAGCGAATTAGATAATGAGATCTTTCTGTTGCTATGACGATTATGATGTCAGCAGCACATCAAGCGTAACAAATTTTCATTTTTTTTTTATTAAGCTGTGGTAGTAGATAATGATCAAACTTGGGAGGTACTGACCCTATGAAATCCAATCAAGCCACCTTAAACATGGCATGTTATCTAGGCTTTTGTACATTATGCTTTTGCTTCCCTACTAAAATGCTCCACCTTAATGCTCCATTTTTCCCACTAAAAAGCTCGGTCTCCCCAAAAAAGTCACTAAAATGCTCGGACAATGCTCATTATACAGACAGTTTTTTAAAATTAATTTCAAAGTGCAAGTGTTGGAAGTAACAACGACAACGTGTACAAGTTCATAAATACAGCCAAAAGAAACAGTTGTATTAAGTTTTTTGTGAATTTTGAATTTTAGTCTTCATTTTGTTTAAAAAAGCAGGAGTTCATGGGGCATGGGCTCCTGAAAAAAGTTAATTTCTATTTTATTTTCTCGGAAAAATTAATTTCCCGGGGAAAATGCCACTAAAATGCTTGAAGAATGCTCAATGCTTTTGCCTCACTAAAATGCTCGAAAAAATGCTAGCATAATGTACAAAAGCCTAGACTGTTATCTTCATCTGAAAGTTATACTTGATAATGATCCTAATTTAATGTTTTGTTTTTAGGTATGGCAAGGTCTGCTTGGCGCATTACAGTGCGTCAGCTGGAAAGCATGATTCGCCTTTCCGAAGCAATGGCCAGGCTATACTGTCAGGATGAGGTATTATGTTTAACCCTTTAAGTCTCAATCGTGACCAACAGCAATTTTCTCCTAACGATATGCATACATTGTCATGAGATTAGGTTATGAGAATTAATAAAATGATCACCTAAGAGAAAATACTTTGATCTTTTATCAAATTCTCTTAACTAATTCTTAAAGGAAAATGTATAGAGATCAGTTTGGAGAATTTGTATGTGGATATGGGGGCTTAAAGGGTTAATTTTTATAACTGTTCCCCGAGGTATCTACGTGTAGCCTCAATGAGAAAACAGCTGACATTTTTGTAATGCTGCCACTGCTGGTTTCCCCACAAAATGACGAGTGAGGAACGAGTGCTGATGATGGGTCACTACCCAGATTTGGATAGTGCTCTGGATTGGTTGAAGCAAATTTCCTGTGCATACCCAGATCTAAGTAGTGACATATCATGGGTATGGAATTTCTGTGCTGATTCCTCAGACATCATTTTGTGGGGAAACCAGTGGTGGTATGGCAAAATGTTTGCTGTTTTCTCGGGCTATGAGGTTTGAAGCCCGTATAATATTGTCCATTGCTTGAATCTTTGTAACGATACATGATGCAATACTGCATAGCTTAACTCAAATTCTGTTATCTTTTTTTTGCAGGTACAACCAAAACATGTGAAAGAAGCTTTCCGTTTGTTGAACAAGTCGATTATCAGGGTTGAGACCCCAGATGTACAATTTGATGATGAAGAAGAACAGCAAGAAGGTATATTCTAAATGTGAATAATTTAAATGATTAATTAATTTTTGATTCAATAGTTGATTAGTGACTTACTTTCTTACTATCTCTTAACAGTGCCTATCTCTGAACATCCCTGAGGGGAATGAATAACATGATAATTACTTACAATTTACAATAATTATTTTAATTTGTATGCGGGTAAATACAGTGCCTACAAAAAGATCGACAATTCTTAAATGTTTTTGTCACACTAGATATGGATGTAGATGCTGAAAGCGGTACCCAGGGCTCACATCCCACCGGAATGGTGAATGGTCATGTTGAGGATGACTCTCACAAAACAGCCGGAGATAAGATTAAATCCAAACTACGCCTAACATATGATGAGTATGAATCCATGGCAAGACATCTCACAACAACTTTACGAATAGCAGAGAATCGAGCTGGCGATGGTAAGCTTTTGAATGCATTTCTTTGGGAAAATCCAAGATAACAGTGAAAGTTCTCTTAACAGACACTCTCTTAAACAGACAGCTCTACCTATGGCCCCACTCTGCATTTTTTCATTCCTGTAAGCAAACATTTCCAATAGGCGGCTGTGAACGCTCTCAGAGTTTAAGAGTTGTATGCTGGCTTTTTTTGTAAGCTCTTGTAAGTGGACCCTCACAAGAGCGTCCACTGTTGGTTGCTGATCTCAGATTTCTGGGGTTGGCTATGACAAAACAAATGACAAATCTGCAAATGGATTCTTTTAGCATTAACCCTTTAAGTCCAAGAATCAACATACAAATTCTCCAAACTGGTCTCCATACATTTCCTTTAAGAATTAGTTGAGAAAATTTAATATAAGATCAAGGCATTTTCTCTTTGGTAATCTTTGTTTATTCTCATAACCTTATCTCTTGGCAACGTATGGGGATTGTTAGGAGAAAATTGTTGTTGGTCACCATTAGGACTTAAAGGGTTAATGCAGCAGTGTTGCCATGAACCTGTGGGAACAGGCAGGCCAACTATTTTCACAGAAAAATTGACTGTCAAGTGTACTTTTTCAGATCTAATGCTCAAAGAATTCACCGACCTAGATTTAGATTAAATCTAAATCCCAGATTTCCAATTTTGTTTTGGATTATTTTGTAGATGACACTGGAATGCGCAGAAGTGACCTTCTAAACCAGTACCTGAAAGACATTGAAGATCAGATTGAGACTGAGGAAGACCTAGCAGAAAAGAAAACCCTTGTTGATAAAGTTTTGGACAGGTTAATCAACAAGGTAAGAATGCAACCATACATTATTCAGTCCTAGATAAAATACCAACTTAAAGTATTTCCTAGCCTTTTCGACAGCACAACCTCTTGAATAAATTTCTTAACAAGCTCCGTCACTTTAAACTGATGAGTTACAAGTTATTTTTTACAGATTTTCATGGAAACTTACCTCTTAAGTAACATTATAACATGCTCATTTGCCATTTCAAGAACACTGTGTTTACCTAAAATGACTCTACATTCTTCAAATGTTTAGAAAGTGCTTCAGTTTTCTAGAAGGTTCTATGGAATATCTAGGGCTTTACTTAACTATATTTTGATTACAGATCAAATACAAATTGCAAATACTGGGTATTACTTACAATTCTATCTTAATATCAGGGATATTTCTATTTTCTGCTTGAAATATCACAAAAATAATGTTGAAGTATACTACAGCTTGGTTGTAGGAATAGGGAAATTACACTATATACTTTGTTTACGCATAATCAGGTGTTTGTATTGCAGTGCTGACAACTGTATGTTCCTCCAGCCAGCTCCGGCTAGAATAAACAAATTTATAAGTAGATTATAAAAAAGCATGGATATTTTTGGAATCAATTGAATACCTCAGATCACGTAAAGGGAGGCGTGCCCAGTGCATTTTGCACAGCCAAAGGCCTCATTAAACTCATCATTGGAGTCCTCCGAGGCAGAAAAAAGACTGTCTAGGAAAGCTAATTTAGTAGAAATGGGAGGTAACAGACAGTGTCTTTTATTCCAGCTTAATTAAGAGCATAATACATGTACCTCCAGCCAAGCATTGTTATATTGAGCTTAATGACTTTGTCTCATGGGATAAAGGCCAAAAAGCATAATAATCTGGGTTTTTTTAGCATAATCTGTCAGGACCTAGAAAGTGAGCATGGGACATGACATGCCTAATGAGCAAATCTACTAGTTCCAAATTACTGGACAGGATTTTTTTTCAAGTCCTTTTAATACCCAACAGCATCTTATTCTGGAAAGATCAAACTTGAGAAAGAAAAATATTGAAAAATATTACTACTGCAAATTTAAATCAATCAACTACAGAATTTTACCTATAAAGTCAAAAGTATAGACTGAGTTAATCTTCTATGTTCATGATTAATGCAAGGGAAAGAAGGTTTAGGACATGCAATTTACAATGGACCACTGAGAGAACAGTTTCATCCTCTAATAATTACAACAATGCTTCGCATCAAAACCCATAAACCATAAGCCACCAATCCCAACAACAACAACAGTGGTACAAATAGTGCTGCTCCAAAACTCAACACTGTGGCCTGATATGACCTGCAGCATGCAGTAAAACATGGCGATCAATAACTATATGACTATCTTGAGACAAACAATAAACGAAACCCTTAAATGCATAATTCATTTCTTCATTGCTTTTTAAGGACCATGTTATCTTGGCACTGAAAGAGTGGGGCGAGTCAGAAGAGGGATACACACCATCAGAGGATGAGGACCCTTTTCTGGTTGTTCATCCAAACTTTGTCATCGATTGAACATTCACAAAGTTACACTGCCACTTAGCTCAGTGTATGCGCATTTGGAAATACTGTATATAAAGGGATTCACTGACTTGTAAATGAATACTCTTAATGCATTTAAAACTTTGCTTTTCCTGGATAAAGACTTCTGTGAAGATTTAGTGCGTAACTAGATCTTGGTGCAGTGTTGAAAATTGTTGAACCAGTTTTTTGTGCCACCTTTCTTGACTTAAGCAAATGAGAAAACTGTGTTGATAGTCTAGTTACTCCCAAGATCCAAGATGGACATAATCAGGACAACAGTTTGGTTTCCATTAGTTGTGCGTACCTCTATAAGTATCATGTTAGAATAAAAGAAAGTGAAGTGCCCACTTTAGACAGGTATTCTCCCTCCCTTGAGGGGTGTGTGGATTTTGCGGGGGTGTCTGTTTTAAAGAGAGTTGACAGTAACTGTCAACTCTCTTTAAAACAGTACCCTTTTTTGGTAACCTTACAACTGTTGTAAGGTTACCAAAAAACGGTACTGGTTAGTTCAGGAACTGCCAGCATCTGAATCTGTAAATTGATATTAGCCTTATCTTGTACAACTAAGTTCTTAAATCTGTGCTTTCGGTTCACTTCTTGGCATTAAAATGGTCTACAAACAGTGATGAGATTGTGTGATTAATTTTTTACCATGTTGTTTTGAAAAGGCCATGGCTGATGGAAACAAACCAAATCACTTATGTTTTAAGTGGGGCTCCAACTCTGGAGAAACAGCAAACTGACATGTTCCTCACAACAAAGTGAAAAGTCAAAACAAAATATTTTTATAGATCTTGGTGCCCAATGTGGTGGTTCAAAACACAAACCTTTGTTGGGGGATCCTGTTTTTGTTGTTGTTGTTTTGTTTAGCCTCTGAGGAAAGTTTGTCATTGGTATCTCAAAGCTGTCACTGAAATTGAACAGCTAGGAATTTTGGGGGTGGTTCCATTTTCCTTTTGGTTACCTGTGAAGGTAGAAGGGTGGTCACCCCTGCCCCCCTCCCCTCCCCCTTGGTGATAGCCCTTTTAATGCTTAAAGGTGTGCTACCCTAGCCCATGTGTAGCCACACCCTCAGTAAGTGACCCTCCTCACAACAAATGAAAACCTGGGGGAGGGTGTGGCTACACTTGGCTACTGCTACCCAAACAATAAACTAACCAGTTGGCAGTAAATTGTATTCTGCATTGCAGATGTAAACTAACTCACTCATCACTCCGGCTGGTAACATCTGTGATCCTGGTTCTGGACCCCTAACGAACTCAATTACCAGAAGTGCATTTCAAATTCTCATCAAAGTGATTGGCCAATTGATCAATGGTTTTTTTAACGAGCCAATCATGTCACATACTCAAATTCTGGTACACAGCTGGGAACCCAGAACAAGGATTTTGGTGCTGGTTTGTAATTCACAGATCAAATAAACCAGAGGTTTAGTTTTGTCTATAATGGAGACTAGTTAATGGGGGAATACTTAAAATAACCGCGAAAAAACTACTAGAAGGCTCCTGAAACAACTGCTGCACAACCACTACAAAAGTGCAATAAAAGGATCCTTGCTTTAAAAACAAAAAGAAAACAAATAATATTAATTTCTCCTCTTGAATATTATTACTGGTATGAGTTTGAGATCAGAGGTTTATATCCAAAAACAATCTTTTCATTGAGTGAGAGACATGCAGTTCCAACCAACTTGACTAAAAAGTACACTCGTGTTTTTTATTAAACCATTCTGTTCCTTTTAACCTTTTGAAGTCTGATGTGTTTGAGTTAAGAGTGAGGTGTAACAACATTCAGATATTAGGACCAAGGTGGAATCTTGTATTATACAAGCCAGTAAATTCACTGCATCCTAATAGCTAGGAGCTGGTCTCACATTAATTTCAGTTCAAGTTCTTGTTCCTGTGTTGTACAAAGTTTTCACTCTTCTTACGAAACTTCAGAAAACATGTCAGTCATCAAAGTCCAGCTTTTCTTGCTTTGTTGCAAATAATGTATATCCATCTAAACATTGTCAAGGAAGTTTTAGGACCAAGTTCTTATCTTAACATTTTTTCTTCAGCTGAGAAGTCTTTATTAAACCTGACAAGCCTTGAAATATTTAAGACAGGATCCATTAGGAAATTGAGTAATTCTAATTGTCAGTGGACAAAAACCTTGTACTGTCCATATTTTAAGCCATATCGCATTCTTTTTACACTTTTGAAGACCTATTGATGTAATTAGTTATCTGTAATAACACCAAAGACAATTTCTTATGGAGCCCGAGAAAATAAATTTAAAATTTCACAAGGTAAAATCGTCACGCATAAGATCTCATTTTGTGAAATTTGAGGCTTCTGAAGTATTTTCTCACATCTTCCATATTTATTTTTAGAACCTTTTTTTTGGAGTTTTTTCACATAACTTGTTACATTTATAGCTCTTGAAAAGTGTGAAAAAGAATGCAATATGCTTATTCTGATACAAGGTTTTTGTCCACTGAAAATAACAATTACTCAATTTCCTAATGGATTTCATCTTAAATAATTTTCTCGGCATCTGAATCCCTACACTCCCTCTCTTTACCCCTGCCCTCTATCTGGTTTTAGCGTTTCATCCCACTACAGGCACAAGCTCATCAGTGAGAATGAGCTGTCTGATTCCAATATCTTTGATATTGCAACTCAGAAAAGCTCACAGTCTTTTCTTTTTGGTTTGCTTGATGTGAATGATGTTTCAAACAAAATAATTTGTTCCACTCTAATGCCTACTTTATGTCTGACTTATTTTAAAAATCAATTTTTTGGTCCTACTCCACTTTTCTTCTTTACTAAAGCCGGGCTCCTTTTGGAGACAACTCTTAAAGTTCTGGTAGTGGGTTTGAATTTTCTTCTCCAGGGCTTTTCTTTCAATGAAAGCGGTAATAACTAACACCGATTCACAGACCACAATATTGCTTCCTGAATATAAGCTTTGCAGGAACAACTGTTTCCTGATTACATATAATCCAATACTAATTCTTTCAACATTGTTTTCTTTGGCTGCTCATCAAATCAAAGGAACTGTCATCACTCAGATTAACATGATTCCATTTCATTCTTCTCTAAATTTCCATCATATCCCTTGTTTCACTAGTACAGTGGAACCTCGAAATGACAAACCTTGACTATCCAAAGTCCCTGTTATAACAAACAACAACGATTTTTTTACCCCAGTAATAGTAAAATACAAATGTATAGGAGAAAAAAATTCGATATAATGAAACCTTGATATAAAGAACAAATTTTGCCAGTCCCTTTGCTCTTCATTTTATCAAGGTTCTACTGTATTGAGTAGTAATGATTGCAACCCAAAGTTAGCATAAATGTAACATTTAGGCTGTCACTATATGGCCAGCTGCCAGTCAAGATTTTCAAAATACTAAATGGTTTTAACCTTGTACAATCATGAGATGATTTTAAATTCTTGTCTCCTAATTCCCAAATCCCTAGATCTATTTTTGCTTTATTCCATGTCACCCAATGTAGCAAGATCAGACAGATCAGACTGTCAGTAGTTTAATTAATTGACTTGAAAACCTTGATCAGATGTTGGGGCCCTTTGCTCGAAATTCCCGGTAACTTTTCAGACCTGAAAATTAAAGCTGTTTTATGCTTGCCGAGTTTGCATTCAAAATCAAAGTTTCAATAATTTTGAAAATGATACAATAAAACTATAAGTTAACAAAGCAAAATGGCCTGGTTTGTGAGCTAGAAACTGTGCTGTTTTTATTTTAAAATCTGGCTTCAGGCTTGCAAAGTTATCGGGCCTTTTTAGAAACGGCCTCTGGTCATTTAGAAACTTTTTAAAATGTGACCACAAGGGTGATTTATATATTATCTAAATCTAAATTGATAATCCACAAAGGGGGTAGCACATGAATGGATGTAAACAAAAGTTTTTAAAAAATTGGGAGACACATGATCAATAGACCTGACCCCACACGACTTGAAAGTGGAATTAAATTTGTCAGTCACTCAAGTCATACTGCTGTAGATTTCTATGCAAGTGATCAATCATATTACAGCACAAAGCCCTTAAACCTGGTCAAATGTGGATACATTACACAAATGACTGCATGTCCGTATCCACTTCATACAAAGGAAGTTAATACACTTCCCCAAAGCACGGAAGAATTCCTAGTAATTAAAATAAACCAGTGCTTTTGACTTAACCAAGAATAAGAAATTTTGCCAAATTTCGTTTACTTGTCCACCTTAAATAATGTACTAAATTCAGCGCAAGTATTAAAGTTGACCTGTGGTATATTGTTTCACGCGGCGGAGTATTTGAAGTTAAAATAAAATATCCTGGACGTGACGCACGCGATTAAGTGACTGTGACCAGATGCAATATAGACGTGACACATGTCCGCCTGTGACTAAAATAAATCCACTTTAATAGAATTCGTTAGTTCAAGCGTCTCTCTTTAGTACTAACAAGTAATTAATAAAGTTACGCGTGCATTTCCCTGAAATGGGGACTAACAATCCGTCCGCAAAACGACCAGCTATGATGTCTTAATTACATTATTCCGGATAAGCTTCTTCTCAAACAGAAGATGACGAGCAATTATCAAGACATTACAATGTTAATGGAACATACTTGCAGTCTACATTTCAATAAATGTTCAACCTAAGCTTTCCGTTACTTTGAATTAGGTAGTTCTTTATAAAGTTTTCTTTGCAGTATTGAAATGTAAGCTGAAGTGTGTCGCGTAAAACAGTTTCGTTTGAGATAAAAAGGATACAAATTCCGGCAACAGAGGTTAACAGACAAGCAAATATGGCTAAATTTCTTCTTTTCATCTGCTTAAGTTGCTTTTGCCTAGCGACAAACTGTTTGTTGATGGCTTCCATGCGCCTTCTCTCCGCTTCCGTGAAGTCGCTTGATTTGTCCGCCATATTGAAATTCTCAATCCGCTGACCAACAGCACGCGGCTTCAAAAATTCTGACGTCAATAGATTTCGAAACGAGGCTCCTTTTGCGTGACTTTGCCCTCCAAAGATGAAATCTATGACGTCAATGGCTTTCTACCAATCAAAATGAAGCTTATAAAAATATACGAGAACTTTCGCACGTTCTTATTGGTCTATTTCTGTCATCTGATGCTCCAGTATTGCGATGACTAAATCCCTCCAAAATAGATCACCAAGGCTATATAACCTCAGTGACTCAGCGAAATTTTTTCAAGTGATCACGAGGAAAGGGGCTTACCAGTTGTGTCGAACAGTTTGCCTACGAGTGTGTTTCTTTCTGCTTTTATAGTTCTCACATTGGTGGAACCTAAGACGTAAACAATCAAGTAATATCAAGAAAAAAGGAACAACGAACTTTTCAAGCTTTTCTGATTCCTATCAACAATAATTGCTTTTTCAAAACTTTCACATTAAGTAAGATTAGCAGACATGGCTGTTGGAAAGAAGTATTTCGACTCTGCGAACCTCTTGCAACTCGCAATGGCCTTTTCAATGTTAAGACCAGATCTTCAGGGATTCATCGGGCAAAACACAACGCCGCCGATGCCAGCCTATCCACAGTACCAACAAAATTATACAGGGGTTGCGTTTGCGCCAAGCAGCACAAGCAACTTCAACTTCCATGTAGTTCCCAAAGAAGCAGCTGGAGATTATAACAATCCTCTAAGCGAGTTTCTCGACTGGCATACAACAGGCCAAAATCGATTTGATGGAGACAGTGTGGCGATGCTTTTTGACGGAGTCGATAGTCAAGTTCCGCGTGAATCGCGTGCTTCCTTCAGTACCGAGTTGGAGAGCGGTTACAGTTCGGATGGGGCCCGCTCGCCTCTTTCATCTGTCGCTGGCTCGCCTCATCACGATCATGAATCAAGTGCAGGAAACTTTCAATTGCCCAATGGAGATTTTAATAATTTTGGTGCAGCTGGCTTTACACCGCCAGGCGAGGAAGAAGTTCTGAAATCGATTGGCAATTTCGAACTTGAAGACTACATCGACCTCGACGTACTGTACGAGGGGCCACCGCAGAAAAAAGCATTTTTACCTGAAGATCAAGCCTTCAATCCACACATCAAGGCTGAACCATTGAGCCCTGTTGACAGCTACACAAAATTTCCCAGCTCACCACCACAGACCTACGTACCTTCCGATTTCGCTCGCAAGAGTCCTCTCGACGAAATTTCCGTAGAGCCATTCAACTTTGACGGTCCATTCTCGACAGACTCTATTGATTTCATCCCTACAGCCGAAGAACTTCAACATGTAGGGGAAGATGTGGACACTGAATTTGATTTTGCATCATGGGCCGATAATTTGAACTTTGAAAATGATTTGGCTCTCGATATTTTCGACCCAAGACCACCGGCGGTGCAGAATGCAGTAGAAAACAAACATGACACATTGCTCCCTCTGGGACAAGAGCTCGTTCCTGTCTTTTCAGAAGCAGCAGCGACCAGAAACGACAGTGGAGGTTCGTTTTCAGGTAAGATCTTTCTTGTGATACTGAATTTCTTGAAGGTCACTACCCAAAAAATATATATATCGCTATTTGAGCGTGAAGTTATGGTAAACTTACTAATTTTTCTGTCATTCAGATAGTTACATAATCGAATCAACTTAAAGTACCAAATTTAAGTACGCAGTTCTGAAAAAAATACTTGTTCTTAATATTAATCTGCCCTGTTCTAGTTCTTTTTAAAGCGCTTTCGTGACCATATTAGTTTGGGAGTATTTGTTATTATTTGCCTAGAAACAATTTCCGTTTTTGCTAACAAATTCTGTTCAGTTTCGTGACTTCGAACAAAGTAATTAATACAGTGCATTGTTTGTCAGCGGGGCCAATATATTCTTTATCTTTAAGCACTACAAGTTTGTTGTTGTTCATACAGTACCGATAAACCTCGTTAGCGTGCTTTGCGCTCGTTTGAAAGAATATTATTCTTTGCGGGTGGCTTCGTTTCGACGAATAAAGAAAGAGAATAGTTTGGGGACGTGATAATTTCTGCAAATCGTAAAGCTCTCTTGGCAGGAGTGCCGTCGTTAATAAGGAACCCTTGGGGGGGTATGATATATTATGCGAAATTCCGGTCCTTGCTGACGTCATTGTCAAAAACTCGTTCTGTTTGGATATTTTAAGTATGATTTCCATGTAAATTAGACTGGGGTTTGTGAATCAATTGTTGATAATATCTAATGTGTTGTTTGTCTGTTTTTCTATTCAGAAACTGCAAGAGAAGAAACCCATGGCATTGGTGGAAACTGGGAGAGCACATCTTTGCCATTGTTGTCAAGCGCAACAATCAAGCAAGAGAAACCAGATTTTTCTGGGCCATCGACAAGCACATCTAGCAGATTTGCACCAACAAAAGCCCCAAGGGATTGTAAAGATGCAAAGCCAAAGATTGGTTCATCTTCTTCATCATCACATTTTGCATCAGAAGAAGAAATAGTAGATATGAGTATTGCTGAATTTAACACATTTTTGGAAACACTGTCAGAAGCCCAGTCGCAAGAAGCCAGAGATATTCGTAGAAGAGGGAAGAACAAGGTTGCTGCCCGCTTGTGCCGCAAAAGAAAGATAGAAGTTGTCAGTGACATTGAAGAAGAAATCAACAGCCTTAGAAAGCAGAAAGAGGATGTCCTCAATCAGAGGAAAAAACTGCAGGCTGAGAATGCCTACTATAAAAATAAAATTATTGAACTGCAAGATCATCTCTTTAAGAGCTTACGAGATGAAAGTGGCAGACCACTTTCACCTAGTGAGTATTCACTCTTCCAAGGAGCTAATGGAAGCATATACGTTGGAAAAAACATTGTTTCTGAATCAAAAAAGAAGCAATCTCGTGGTTAAGTAATGACTGTTAAGAGACCATTGAACACTGTAGTGAAGTTAAATGCAAATTCACTGAAGCCGTAACAAGGTCTTGCAGAGACCTTAACACACAGCGGGCCTTTTCCCTAGAAGTAGCTCGTGATCAAATGAATGAACATTTATTTCCATCACTGATATGTAATGGTATTTATATTGGAGAAAAACTTAGGAACAGGAATATGCTAGTCAGTAGCAGATTACGGCTTTTTGTTCTAACCTACCAAATTAATGCAACTTCATACTTTTCTATACTTGTACATTTCACCATTTTTTAGTCATAGAATTAGTGTAACAATTTAAAATTCATAGTTGTTAGAGAAATTTTCATAGGTCATTTTCTAAAAGATTTTGTTGAGGCCTGCTAAGGTGTTCAAAAACAGTGTTATTAATAGTTCGTTGTAAACAGGCTTTACAAAATTCTTTTTCAGAAAGAGGAACAGACATAATGTACATAGTAATTTATAGTCTTTCTGATCCATATGTAGACAACATTAGCTTTTCAGGGTGCAAAAAAAGTCAGTTTTACAGCTTGCCATTCGGGAAAGCTGTAGTTAGCATTTACTAGCCCAAAAGTCATTTTTACTAGACCGATGATGGCCAGGGTTGATAACAAGTTCTATTGTGATTAGAATTCCTTAAAAATTTACTTGCCTGACGGGTAAGTTAAGAACAGAATTCACTAGCCCAATAGTAAAATCCACTAGCCGCGGGCTATCAGAGACGACTTTCTTTGCACGCTGCTTTCTCTTATTTTCCCTGCCATAAATGTTCAACGTAAACTTCCTTAAATTTTTTATCCAAATTTCATTTTGTTAAATATAGAAATACAGACGTACCAAGTGAAAGTACTGCTGAAGAGGTTTCATTTGAATGGTCATTACCCCATAGCCTTTCATCTACAAACTCACAGGTGGTAGTGACGGCTTACTAATGTGTCTTGTTGGCCTTTAATCTGCCTAACCTTTATGCTAGGGCTAAGCGTGTTTTCTGAATTGCAAGTTTTTCGAAAAGGCTGGACACGTCAAGGTGTCTTGAACAAAGAAAGTTAAAAAATTTTGAGTTCTAAATGCAATGGTGCATTTTAATATGTAAATAGTGTAAATATATATTTCCTTAGTTAGAGTATATAAGACACTAATTGTCGTAACTTTTTATTATTAATATCTATCTGTTGTAAGCAGTTAGAAGATACATAAGTAGTAGATTTCTTTCTACCAACGAGATAACAGGAAAAAAATAATTGAAAATAAAAACAAGTAATAAAAGAAACGAATTTGTTTAAAGAAGATATGTCCCTTTGTAATTTCTGTCCGGATATTATAGCAATAACAATAATAGTATCAATTGTCCTTAAACTTTCGTGTAAACAAATTTTTCTTTTCTGCCAAATGGCGTTGTACGAAAAATTTAAAATGAGTGACAATTTTAACAAGTTCCATCAATCATTATGTGGTTTTGGGAGGCGGATTCGTGGATTTTCAACAATTTTGATTCAAGTGGTGTGTTCCATTGTCAGTTTTGTTTGTTTTGTTTTGTTTACTTAATTCGTGGCGGTCGAGGACTGCACTGCTAATAACTACGCTTCACATAATGCACGCATGATGCTGGTACTGCACAATTTTAAGGTAATAAGGCCTACTGTTGCTGGCGACTTTTTCCTGCAAACTGTTGTAAAAAGTGTTTCATTGAAAGTTGGGATTCTTTTCCATCTTATCACGCGCGACAAATGTTCTGTTACAGAGAGTGTTGCATCTCTTAAGAACAGTTCTCTTCTGAGTAACATGAAAATCTGTTGCAGACAGTCGCAACAAACATTTTGGGTTTTCCAGTTGCAAGAAGAAACAAGCCTTTTTTAGTTCTCCGTTTTTTCTGTGCCCATCCGTTGAGACTCAGCGAAGTCAATTAATGAGATTGAATCGCGGCTTTAACCTTTTCAATAATGGAGCCTGAAGTTGATTTACTTAGGGTACGACCATTAAACATTTGAGTGGAGGATTGGGTCATAGAGCGGTTTTCACGGCGTAAAACCAAAACCAAAGTAAATACACTAGCCAAC